AGAAACCTGGAGCTTCCAGCGTAATTGGTGAGGTTTATTGAAAAAACAGCATTATTGTATGTGTTTTTGTCGACTCGCTGTTTCATTGTTATTTATTAAGCATTTCTTTTCTATCCTCCTTCATTGCAAAATTTTCATAACATCAGTGGCTATTGGTGTGCTATGATTAATTGAAGGAATATAAGCTTAATTTATTAATTGAAAAAACTTGCCAGAACATTTCTGTACTTTGTTTAGGAACGAAACTGTTTGCATTAAGTTTTTGATTTTTTGTTGTTATTTCTTAGGAATACTTTCCTTCAGTTTTCATATAACGGTTTTCTGTTAAGTGAAGAAAGGAACAAAGCAGTGAGTTTTACTCTCGTTTTGTTATTGTTGTAAATTTGCTAGTTTTCTTGTTATGCTTTTTGGGGACAGTGCTCTATGTTTCAGTGTGAGTCTGGAATAAAAATTATGAACATTAGATAACTGTTAAAGTTCGCTGAAAGTTTGTTTTGTTTGTAATGCTCTTTATACCGTTCATCTGAAGCCTTACAGAGAAAACTTTTGAAAGAACCAAATTTGCTAATGATTGACAGTAGCAGTAACAACTGTGTGGTAATAGTACGGAATGTTGTTTTGTATGGGGATTTTGAAAAGGCCAATGTACCACTCCAATTTGGAGTCTTTTGGTTTTGAATATTTCACATTAAATGTAGTTCAAATCAAGTTGTCTTTTGTGAGAGTTAGGTTTGGAACACTTTAGAAGACTACCAAAAAAAAGTAAAGCTTTAGTATCATTTATTATTCAATGAATGAGTAATACATGCTAGAGGTAGTTTATTTTCACTACTAGTAGCACTTTGTGATTTGGACTTAGCAAATCAGGTGTTGTTTGTATTCTATTTGGCTTCGACTTCAGAAAGAAACGTTTTTTTTTGTACGGTTGTTTGGAGCGGTTTTCACATAGCTTTTTTTGTGACTCAGTGATTGGAGGGCTGATTTATCGCTTCACTTTTTTGTATCCCGACATTTTTCTTTTAGACTGGTTATTGACGTTTGTCTGATATCATTAAAAATTCAGAAGTTTGTTTAAGCTCTCAACTTCTGACTTGAAAGTATTCACCAGTATAATTATTTGTTCAGTTATTTGGATACTGTGAGCAGTCTGTCAAGTCATAAGTGTAGTTGGGCAGTTACTGGTTATTAATGATTATAAAGGAAGGCAAGCAATACTTTTAGGAAATTATTCATTCTTAAAGAAAAGCTGAAAAGAAAAGAGGATGTATTTTAGGATTTGGTTGGATTTTAGTTTTTTAGTATACTGAGTCTTCGGGAGTGATGGCTGATTTTTGAAACTTGATAGTAATCAAATAAGGCAAACTGTGTAAGTGTAATCGCACATTTGCAATACTGTAAGAAGCGAGTAGTGCAGCCAAATTTAATTGCAAAGTTATACATATTTACGTTAAATGTTTATGCACTGAAGTCAGACGTTTAGAAAGGAAAGTCGAGTCATAAAAGAACGGGAAGTCACAAGTAATTCTCCGGCTTTATCATTTTTGTGACTTTTCATTGCAAATTACGCATTACTTTCTTAGATAGAAACACTTTTTGAGGGTCAGTCTTACACTGTAGAAGGGGATGTGAAGATGTGGTAGGTCAACGTTTCTGAACTACTTTGGTCAGTTTTTTGAGTAAACGATTTAGACGTTTTTTAATAAGAACAGTTTTTGGGAGCAGTGTTGGGATTGGAACCTTTGGTAGGAATTGTGCCAATCTGGTTATTTGGTACTGTGCCTCCTTTTTGTTCTTCTGCTCTTTTTCTTCATGGTCGACTGCTTTAAGGTCGGTGTAGTAGGAGTGCGTTCTTCACCTTGTTTCACTTCGAATCA